GATCCCGGGACTCCAGGATCATGACCTGAGCCGAAGGCAGTTGCTTAACCAACTGAGCCACCCAGGCGCCCTCCTTTTTATTTTTAATTGGGTAAAAGATCACTTGGTTTTTTGTATTTTATCATTATAGAAAATTTGGATCATAAACACTTTGTATACTATTTTTACTTTAAAAAAGCACAAGTTGTGGGACAGGCTCAGTCGGTTAAGTGTCTGCCTCCAACTCAGGTCGTGCTCTCAGGGTCCTGGAATTGAGCCCCGCATTGGGTTCCCTGTGCAGTGGGGAGCCTGCTTCTCCCTCTGCCCTCTGCCGCTCCCCCTGCTTGTGCCTGCATGCATGCTCTCTCCCTGTCAAATAAAATCTTTAAAAATAAATAAGTAAAGAAAGAAAGCTAAATCTTAATGCATGTTCTTTTTTCCTTAAATTCCTAAATGTAGAATTGCTATGCTGATAAGTATATCCACCAGAAAGTTGTGTGCCCAACAGCATTGAGCAAGAGTGCATAATTGTTTGCTTTTTTTGATGATGTACATAACAGAACTTTGGAACTAGAAATTATCTTTAGACGTCTTTTTATTCTAATGCCTGATTTTCTAAAAAGGTAAATTCTAAAAGGCAGGCAAACTAGTTAGTGCCACATGAGGATCCTTTAGTGCTCTTAGTTTATAATGCCCTCTTTGTACATAATTTAGCAGTTTTTTTGTTTTGTTTTGTTTTTTAGCTGTTTTAAAGTTTCATCAACATCCCTAAAACCTTCATGTGATATGTTGCTATTTATCTTTTAGGATGCCAGCAGTGAAAACACAGTGGTTCCTCCAGAGACATACGTGAAAGTAGCTGGCCATCTGAGATCTTTTCAGGTAAAGTCAGAAAACGTGCTCACTCTCTAATAAATAAATAAAATCTTTTAAAAATATATATATATTTGCATGAAGCAATTTCTGGATTCATGCCTGAGTTTAGGATACTTAAGATTGAACCAAGTCTTTCTGTTAAATGGGAATTAGATTGAAATTACTTCATTATTCTCTTCAAAGAGAAATAATGGGTTTTTAGCTTAACATAAAACTAACGGAGGGGTGCCCGGCTGGCTCAGTCAGAAGAGCATGCAACTCTTGATATCCAGGTTGAGTTCAAGCCCCACATTCGGTGGAAAATCTTTAAAAAAAAAAAAAAAAAAGAAAGAAAGAAAAAACACACAACTAATAGAATGGTAGAGGAAGAACAGGACCCCTGCCTGTAATCGCCATCAGTGGCATCCACTAGGGATAAAAGGGAGGACACCGGGTTCGGAGTCGGGGGACTATATACTCTGCTTGTTGTGTAACCTTGGGCAAGTTATTGAACAACTCTGAGTTGATTTTGTTTTTTTCTCCCATTAATGACTATATTAGGATTAACCTTGAGTTAAAAATTTTGAGTATATAACACATTTTTTCCATATTGGAAAAATATTATAACCAAGACAAGTGCCACAGTGTTTTAAGCTAAGGTTGATTTGAATGTGCTCGTCTTTTATTCACATTTTTCTCTTTATTTTATTAGAACAAAAAAAGCCTTGTAGCCTTTAAGATCATGCCTCTGGAGGATATGAATGAGTTCACCACACATATTCTGGAAGTTGTCAATGCACACATGATCCTGAGCAAATCTAACAGCCAGGTGAGCAACTTTACTCTCAGAGTTTTTCCTCTTCTCTGGAAAAACATAGACAGCTTCTGGCTTCTCTGGCTTTGATTTTCTTGACGTTTGAAGGTTGAGCCAGAAGAAAGGCCTCACTCACTCCTCAGAACATTTTCTTCACGAGCTTTGCCATGTTATTTTATTCCAAAGGAAGCACTCTTGTTTCTCTCAGAATTACAAGTTCCTCTAACCCCACTGACTTGGAAGATCGAGGCCCAAGACAACCTTCAAGTATAGACACATAATTGTAGGCTGAGTGCTTGGCTCCAGGATTATATTTAGAGAAATATTCCAATGGGGACAGCATTTTACTGCTTTTCTTCTAACCTGTTGGCTAAATAGGAAAAATTAGGCACCATTATTTTGTCCCTGAAGTTATCTTCCCTGCTTCATATTGAAATTTCTCAGCATTATTTTCTGCTGTGTAAATTCCATTTGGCCAGTCCATCTAGGGCCACACAGAGAGTTTTTTATTCTTGTATTAGAATGTCCTTAGATTGGGGTACCTGGCTGGCTCAGTTGGTATGGTAGAGCATGTGACTCTTGATCTTGGGATTGTGAAGTCAAGCCCCATGTTGGGTATGGAGGCTACTTAAAGAAAAAAAAAGTCCTTAGATGATTCTGGTGCCCAGGTGGAGGATTATTGGTTACAGAATAGGAGAGGCTAGAGAACTCATGAGCCACTAAGGATGCTATTGCATCCTATTCTGTGCCAAACAATTGGGTAAGCACTGGGGATACAGAGAGAAATCCATTAATTTATTCCTTCCTTTGAGAAATATTTATTGAGCCTGGTATGTACCAGTCATTATTCTAGGCCCTTAGAAGGTTTCAGCTAGGGAGCGACATGGTCTGATACGTCTTTTAAAAAGTTCACTTGGGCTGGGCTGCTGTATGGAGTGTAGGTGATGAGGCACCAGGAATAGCAACAGAATTAATCTGGGAGTGGTAGCAGTAGCTGGGAGGAGGAGTGGTTGGATTGTGACGTATTTTGAAGGTAGAGGTCACAGGACTTCTTGGTGGGTTATAAATATAGGATATAAAAAGGGAGGATTCAAAAATGACTTCTAGGTTTGGGGCTTGAACAACTGAGTGAAGCTAGCACATTTGGAGGGTAACTCCAGAGTTCTGTTCGGACTTACCAAGTGGGAGGTGCCGGGTAGATATCCAAGTGGGGAACAGGATGGATGGTTGAATATGTAGAGGTGGCATCCGAGGGAGAGGTCAGGGCTAGAGGTGGAACTTTGGGAGTCGTCGTGTAGGTGATATTTAAAGCCTCAGGTGAGATGAGATAACTGGGGAGTTAAGAGGTCAGAGACCTGAGCTCTGGGACACAGTAACCTTTAGAAGTCTAGAGTAAAACAGGAGCCAGGGGAAGTCAAAAAAGTTGCTAGTTGGGCAGGAGGAAACCAGGAAATGTGATTCTGTAGAATATTCTGAAAAGAGTATTTTAGGAGAGAGGAGGTGATCAACTGTAGAATGCTGCCTTGAAGTCAAGGCAGGTGATGAGAGACGTCTGCTACTGGATTTGGAAACTTTGGATCTTCAAAAGGGAGGCTTCAGTAGAGGATGAGGGAAGTGGGTTAAAAAGAACGGAATTGGGGCCTCTGCTCTTCCTCTTCCCCCTAAGCGGCCTGAGGTGACCTCTGAAAATGGTTCGCTATTCGCTTGACCCAGAAAACCCTACGAAATCATGTAAATCAAGAGGTTCAAATCTTCGGGTTCACTTTAAGAACACACGTGAAACTGCCCAGGCCATCAAGGGTGTGCATATCCGAAAAGCCACCAAGTATCTGAAAGACGTCACTTTACAGAAGCAGTGTGTGCCATTCCGTCGCTACAATGGTGGAGTTGGTAGGTGTGCCCAGGCCAAACAGTGGGGCTGGACACAGGGTCGGTGGCCCAAGAAGAGTGCTGAATTTTTACTGCACGTGCTTAAAAATGCAGAGAGTAATGCTGAACTTAAGGGTTTAGATGTTGATTCTCTGGTCATTGAGCACATCCAGGTGAACAAAGCCCCCAAGATGCGGCGTAGAACGTACAGGGCTCATGGTCGGATTAACCCATACATGAGCTCTCCCTGCCACATTGAGATGATCCTTACTGAAAAAGAGCAGATTGTTCCTAAACCAGAAGAGGAGGTTGCACAGAAGAAAAAGATATCCCAGAAGAAACTGAAGAAACAAAAACTTATGGCCTGGGAGTAAATTCTGCAGAATAAATGCAAATAAAAATAAAAAATAAAAAAAAAAAGAACGGAATTGGGTAGAAAGTTTAGGGTGTTCATTACCATACTTAATGACATATGTATGTATCACATATTTCATAAATAAATAAATGGATGGTTAGGGAGTAGAAACTGGAAGTATAGACAGTTATATTGAGGAGCAAATAAAACCCCTTTCCCACAAAGAGTTTGTGTTTGAGCAGTGGAGATTCAGATCACTTAAGCAGTAAAAACAGGATAAGTGGCAAGCACAGGGTGTTGTGGAACCACAGTGAGGGGTTTCCTGTCCTGACTTGAACATCAAGAAGGACCCCTTGGAGGAAGTGATGCCTAAACCAAGTCCTAAAAGATACGTGAGGTGGGGTTACCTGAAGCAGGACATGATGCCCTTTCAGCAGAGTATCTGGGTAAGAAATAGCATTCAGTTCAGTATTATTGGATCAGAAAATGTGAGACTTCTGTTTTACCAGCAGGCAACATGAAGGCATCTAGCTTGAAAACAAGGGACCACAATTGATTTTTGTTTATTACCTCAAAGCAGTAGACATTTAATGAGCATTTATTGAATGAATGCGTCTCCTGACAGGATGGGATTTCTCCTAACGAGCTTCCACAGTGCCTTATATCTGTTATGAGTACTTAACACATTTGATGTTCTGTCATCCTTATTTATTCAGTTCAGTGGATAGAACATTGAGCACGTACTATACCAGGCACTGTGAAAATGGAGGAGCTTGTGGTGGAAGGCACTGAAAATGGAGGAGCTTGTGGTGGAAAGTGCCAGGCGAACAGTGTGATGGCTGCTGTGAGAGCCAAGGACGAAGAACATGGCTGACTTGGCTTGGGGCATGTTGGAAAGCTCTGCAAAGGCAGTGGCAATTAAGTTGGACTTTGAAGGATGAGAAGTCAGTGTTTACCAGGCAGATGAGGGGAGGAGCATTTTAGACAGGGAACATGTTCGAGGCAGAGGCATGTTTGTAGTTGGCAAGAAGTCCAGGTGCAGCTGGGGAGTAAAGTGTGTCGAGAAGGAACAGTCAAGAATAAAACAAGATTTTGACATCTAGTTGTGGTAGGTCTTGAATGTCTAGGTTTATATTTTCACCGGCAGGGGGAGCCACCTGAAAGCTTTCCAGTCAGAGGAGGGACAGGATCCAGAGCTATTAATGTGGTAGCAAAGAGGGAGGTTGACTGGAGTAGAAGAGACTAGCAGCTGAAATGCCATCGGGAGGCCAGGGTGAGGAAGAGGGACTTGAGATACACTGAAGCTTGTGTGATAGGCTGTGGTGACAGACTGTGGGAGGTGAGTGAATGGACTCACAGATGACTGAAGTCTGCAGGATTGGGTTAGCTTTACTCACTGAGGTGGGATAGAGCAGGGCAAGCAGGTTTGGGGAGGGTCGTAATCTTACTTCAGAGTGTGTGAGAGAGCGAGGTGGACGTATCCAGTCCATAGCTGGGAACAAGAATTTGTGGCCCAGGAGGAGGTCTGGGATGGAATCCTGGGGGAGCTATCAGTCTTGTGGGAAATAGGTAGAGAGAAAAGCTGGTAAGGGATACTGAGAAGGTAGAGTTTGAGAAGTAAGTGGAGAACAAGAAGAATATGCTATCAAGAAACCTAGGGAGCGGTGGGTACATTTGAAGAGTGTGGTCAGCGTGTCTTTCTGAGAGGTCGCATTAGGACTGAAAGAGACTGTTGGATATATTGGTTGAAAAGTCATTGGTGACTTCGGTGAGAACAATTTCAGAGGTATATTCAGTGAGAGTGCAAATATAGTGGGCTGGGGAATGACTAAGAAGAAAGGAAATGGAAACAGTGATTATAGTCTGTTGTTAAAAGTTTGGTAATAAAAAAAGAACAGAGTGATGGGAACTGTTTTTTTTTTCTCTCACTGTCATGCTTCATGCCTAGGTGACAGTAAATGCCTGAGTGGGGGGGTGAGTGAAATGGGTGAACACTTATGGAGAGCATCCGGTAATGTATAGAATTGTTGAATCACTATGTTATACACCTGAAACTAATGTATATAACCTTGTGTCAACTATATTTCAATAATAAAACTTTTTAATAATAATAAAATCAGGAACAAGGTAAGAATTCCCAAAAATAAATAAATAAATGAGTGAGCGGGTGCATGTTTGAATAATAAAGCACCAAGGACAGATACCATTATAGCAGATCTCCAGGTAATTTTCTTCTTGATGCTAGTTTTCCTCTGATTCCCCTCAACAGCACAAAAACAAGAAGGAGCTAGGAGGTATCTTTCTCTCTGTTTGATAATATATGCTTCAGAGAATCACTTTATCTTCCTCAGAAATTCTTGTTAATGATGATAGTTGCTCCTTCCAATGTAAGCAATTGTTATTGGGAAAACGGCTTAAATTGTTTTTGTGAGCTGCTTATTGACAGGCTATAACACAATAACAAGGACTGTATTTAACTTGGTAATTTTTCTGATGCTGTGAACTTCTTTCTTAATTCAGCCCCCAGCAGGGAGAGCATCTATCAGCATTCCAGGAATGGGTGAAACAGGGAACTTTGGTGGGAATAGCTCCATGCCAGCAAATGGCCTCACTGTGGCCCAAAACCAGGTAAACACTGAGTGGCTCCAGAAATTCAAGACACAGACAGTCTTAAATTTGTCACTTCCTTAATGATTCTAAGGCAAAGGACCTGACTCATTTCTTTCTTATCAAGGGACTCAGGTTTAGGGGCGCCTGGGTGGCTCAGTTGTTAAGCATCTGCCTTTGGTTCGGGTCATGGTCCTGGGGTCCTGGGATTGAGCCCCACATTGGTCTCCCTGCTCGACGGGAAGCCTGCTTTTCCCTCTCCCACTCCCCCTGCTTGTGTTCCCTCTCTCACTGTGTCTCTGTCAAGTAAATAAGTAAAATTTTTTAAAAAGGCTGGGGGGGGCGGGACTCAGGTTTACATAAGGGAGTTGATTTAGAGTAGTTGCTCAAATCTTTCTCATTTGAATCTTCAGGTGCTGAATTTGATTAAGGCTTGTCCAAGACCTGAAGGATTAAACTTTCATGATCTCAAGAACCAGCTCCAACACATGACTGTAGCCTCAATAAAGTGAGTATTTGGTTTGTAGCCTCAATAAAGTGAGTGGTTTCCATCAGCTGGGGCTCCAGAATTGGACCCATTTTACCTTAGCAGGGTTTCCTGGTAATGAGAAGTGAATTACAAATAAAAATAAAACTGTCAGCTGCCATCTTTATTGATGGAAGGGAGGTTGTCCGGTCATGGAAAGATAGAAAAAGGACTCACAAAGGTGATGCTGACTGTCACATCACTGACTCAGTCATTCATTTAACAAGTCGTGATTCCTGTTATGTGCAGGGGATGTAATTTTGAACAAAATTGACCAGATAAAATTTGACCTCTTGTGGAATTCAGTGTGGAGGAGTGAGATCCTTAGCTCCTGGCCCTCAGATGTACAGTCCCATTGGTGTTACTGTTTCCACTGTGGAGATGTGCATTTGGTTGTCTGGACCTGAAACCCTATCGGTCCTTCCGACATCCTTCCGATTCCATGGTAGACGAGCAGCTTCCTGATTCCAATGAGCCAATCAAACAAGCTGAGTATTTTGGTGCTTTTGATAGTTACTTGTTACTGTAAGTCAGTTGATATTTTAGGTTCCCATAGAAAAGAAAAGCTCAGGTCTAATTTCATTTCCTGTTTTATAAAATGAAGATATTAATTCCTATCCAAAGGATTAATTCCCAGAGATCCAGTGATGATGAGGTACAGAAACACTGTCACATAGTAGTTGCTCTATAAATTATTACTGTTATTAAAAATAGTAATAAAATAAAAAATAAATATGTTAACTGTTATTAAATTACTGTTAGTAAACATTATTAAATATGTTAGACTGATCCTGAAGGTCTTGAAGGGTTTGAAGGTGTCCTCCCATTTCTGTCCTGCATTCCTTTCCTTTACGTCTGACAGCTTTACTTCCCAGAGGGTTGGTGGGTGGGTAAGAAGAAGAAACTTTGAAAAATAGCTGTTTATGCTAGGAGTTTCATGTGCAAGCTGGACTGCATTTTTAGATTCCTGTTTCAATTTGCTTAGACTGGCATTTGAGTTAGGCTCTATTTTCTGGCCTTTACACAGTTTGGGGCAGGGGTCCAAGGCAGCTCTGATAGCCATAGTCTCCATGCATGATCCCACTTTTGCAGTTTTACTGGCACTTCGCCCTGTAAGAGCCCTCTGTGAGCAAAATGGCTGTGACTTCTTAGCAAAGTAGAGAGTGGGAAGTGAGCAAAATCTATGTTTGGCCATATCCAGAAGTCTGTTTCCTTTCTTCTGCATCGGTTTGAAAATGAGCCTTTTTTTTCCTTTTCTTTCTAGGCAAGCTGTGGATTTTCTTAGCAACGAGGGACACATTTATTCCACTGTGGATGATGATCATTTTAAATCCACAGATGCAGACTAACTGGATCTAATTGAGTACCCAAGGCATTTTCCAGCTGGACCTGTTTTCCTAAACTGTTGTCTCCAACTATGCATCTGTTTGGCCAATTGATTTCTAGGGAGTAGGTTTCATCTAGAAAGGGTCTCATTTAACATCCTTTTGAAACTTACGGCTCTTCTGGCTTTTTGTTTGTTGTTATTTTTGTTTTTTGAAGCTCAATTTTGGGCACTTGACAAGAATGTAAACCTGGGTGGACTTTCTTAAGTTACAAATCGGGGCGCCTGGGTGGCTCAGTCAGTTAAGCGTCTGCCTTCGAATCAGGTCATGATCCCAGGGTCTTGGGATCGAGCCCCAAGTCAGGCTTCTTGCTCAGCAGGGAGCCTGCTTGTGCTCTCGCGCTCTCTCTCTCCCCCCATCAGATAAATAGCTAAACTCTTTAAAAAAAAAAAAAAAGTTACAAATCAGCTGTTTTCAGCGTTAGGACAGATGGAAGTGGGAGAACTCTGCTACTGAGAGAGTTGGGCGGTTATTACTTAAAGAATAGTCAGGAGCTTCTGCTCCTATCATGTTCCCTGTGGAGAGAAGATGAGCAGGACTAGGGCCTTCAGCAGGGAGCTAGCCAAGAAACCCACTAAACTCTGCCTGGTTTTGTTCCCCCCTTTAGTTGGTTATATGGTGTTATCTTCAGAATTGCGCTTTCCTTCACCTTGTCATGACTGCTGCCAAAAGTGTGTTTTTATGAAGTTCTAGAGTGGTAGCCTCATGAGGGCAGAGGGGAGAAAGATGTTCTTTCAATTTCATACCAAAAAGTACATCCCTATGTTTAATAAAAGCTCTATTGTAGAATGTGTGAAAATGTTATTTTTCTTCCTAAGCTGGTATAATTACTACTTTTATCATCTAAGGCGTGTAGCGTAGGTTGACTTGGGTTTGAAATCCTGGCTTTCCCCTTTTAGTTAGGATCTTGAGCAGGCTATGTCAGCTCTGAGGACTTCCCATTTCCCTATTTATGAAGACAACTGTATCATTTCCTCATAGGTGTGTTGTGAAAATTGAGTAAAACAATGTTTGCAAAGCATCTAGCATTGCCATTGGTAGATAGAAAGTGGACCTTAATCTTGACTCTAGCAATATGTGGTCACATAACTGAATTGATAACCTACCATTTTACCTCAAGAATGAGACTGTCTAAGGGCGCCTGGGTGGCTCAGCTGGTTAAGCGTCTGCCTTCAGCTCAGGTCATGATCCCAGGGGCCTGGGATCTAGCCCCGAGTTGGGCTCCCTGCTCAATGGGGAGCCTGCCTTTCCCTCTGCCCCTCCCCCTGCTCTTGTGTATACTCTCGCTCTTTCTCACTCTCTCAAATAAATAAAATCTTTAAAAAAAAAAAAAGACTGTCTAAAGGCCTACAGCCTTTGGCCAGTGTAATCAGTTGTTTCTTAAGGGAGAGTAAACTACCTCAAAGATGTTTTTGACAACTCCAGAATGTAAGCTATGTTTTGAAGAAGAGAACTAATTCTGAGGTAAGTTAATGAGGTGTAACATGCAAATAAAAATTCTATAACTGCTTTAACTGTGTTTGAAAATGAAACCTACCAGCGGCCATGTGGAAAATGCCCCACCCTCCGGTTTCTAAAAGTGAACAAGTCTGGTTGTTGTTTCTGTACCTACAGAGTGGTTCCTATCCAGGGAGCTAGATGGATGCTTTAAAGTCAGTCAACCAGGATGTTTATCTGCAAGTCTGTCCATTCTTCATTATTTTCTGAAAGAAAAGGCACTGGCTAAAAACAGGTTAAAAAATCATATATTTGGGCGCCTGGGTGGCTCAGTTGGTTAAGCGACTGCCTTCGGCTCAGGTCAGGATCCTGGAGTCCCGGATCGAGTCCGCATCGGGCTCCCTGCCCAGCGGGGAGTCTGCTTCTCCCTCTGACCCTCCCCCCTCTTGTGCTCTCTATCTCTCTCTCTCTCTCAAATAATATTTTTAAAAAATATATATTCTAGGGGCGCTTCGGCACAGTTGGTTAAGCGTCTGACGCAGTTTCGGCTCAGGTCATGATCTCCGGGTGGTGGGATTGAGCCCCTGTGTCGGGCTCTGCTCAGTGCAGAGTCCGCTTGGGTTTCTTCTCCCTCTCCCTCTCCCTCTGCTCCTCCCCGCCTCGCATGCTTGCTCACTCTCAAAATAAATCTTTTTTTAAAAACCATACATTTGAATTTGGAATGCATGATAGGACAGGTTTATGAGTGGTTGACATCTCTGGTTCTCAGGCGAGCGCTCGCCAATGGGTGAGGCAATAGCAGTGATTCTGGGTAGAAGTCTTTCTTTTAGGATTCAGCAATTACAAACTACTTAATTCAAGTATTTGTTGAATACCTCCTGTGGCAGCCCATTGGTCAAATACTAGAAATACAAAACGCCAGGTCGTGTCCCTGGACTTGCTGGTTCTGTGTTGCCAGTAGCACCGAGTGGCGGCTCTGCAGTGCGGAATTCCCTGCCAGCTTGGCATTTACACGGCCTCCCAGGAGCTGTGTATTTTCTGAGCACAGGCAGGCCCTCCGCAGCAGAACGAACCCAGCCTTCTGGAGCCTCTGCCCTGCCAGAGCAGGAGGCTCTTGAATTCATGGTGTTCGTGCCCACCTGGGATGTCAAGTATACGGTATTCTCGCACGTTTGTTAAGAGCAGGAACAGCAACACAACCCATGTTCTCAGAAACCCCCAGGGTCACAGCCAAGCAGTGAACCAGCTTGTTCTCAGGAGAATCTCTAGGTATACTGGTGGGAAATTAGGCTCCTTGGTTAATAGTAGTACTTCATCAGGTTTAACTAGAGAAGGTAAGAATTAGTGTCTGATGTGGATGAATAAATCTGGGTTTTTTAAGATTGATTGATTTTAGAGTGTGTCCATGCACGTGTGTGAGCAGGGGGAGGGGCAGAGGGAGAGAAATCCTCAAGCAGACTCCCCACTGAGCGCAGAACCTGATACAGGGCTTGATCCCAGGACCCCAAGATCAGGACCTGAGCCAACATCAAGAGTGAGATGCTTGGGCGCCTGGGTGGCTCAGTTGGTTGGGCGACTGCCTTCGGCTCAGGTCATGATCCTGGAGTCCCTGGATCGAGTCCCGCATCGGGCTCCCTGCTTAGCAGGGAGTCTGCTTCTCCCTCTGATCCTCCCCCCTCTCATGTGCTTTCTCTCTCTCAGATAAATAAATAAAATCTTTAAAAAAAAAAAAAGAGTGAGATGCTTAACTGACTGAACCACCCAGGCACCCCTGAATAGATCTTTTATTAAAAAAATGCAGTTGAGCAGGACGCCTGGGTGGCTCAGTCGGTTAAGCGTCTGCCTTCGGCTCAGGTCATGATCTCAGGGTCCTGGGATTGACTGCCACTTCAGGCTCCCTGCTCAGTGGGGAGCCTGCTTCTCCCACTGCCTGCCGCTCCCCCTGCTTGGGCTCGTGCTCTCTCTCTGACAAAATCTTTAAAAAAAATGCAGTTGAGGGAGGGCTATCTGGCTGGCTCAGTCGGTGGAGCATGTGACTCTTGATATTGGGGTCGGTTTGGGCCCCACATTGGGTGTAGAGATTACTTAAGAAAAAAAAGGGGTGCCTGGGTGGCTCAGTCGTTAAGCGTCTGCTTTCAGCTCAGATCATGATCCCAGGGTCCTGGGATCGAGCCCCGCATCAGGCTCCCTGCTCAGCGGGAAGCCTGCTTCTCCCTCTTGTGTTCCCTCTCTCACTTTCTGTCAAATAAATAAATAAAATCTTAAAAAAAAAAAAAAAAAAAAAAAACTTGAGGGGCGCCTGGGTGGCTCAGTCAGTTGAGCGTCTGCCTTCGGCTCAGGTCATGATCCCAGGGTTCTGGGTTCTCTGTGCTCAGCGGGAAGCCTGCTTCTCCCTCTTGTGTTCCCTCTCTCGTTGTGTCTCTCTGTCAAATAAATAAAATCTTAAAAAAAAAACAAAACTTGAAAGTGCATTTGAGGGACATTCGGAACTTGATCCATTTTTGAGTATGCATCTCCAGTTTATGTTCATTTATTTAGCATTTACATCTGTTCCTGTGTTAGCATATTCGCTACATCACAAAACATTAAAAAATAGAAATGAGAAAAGATAGAAAAATAAATATGAAGGGATGGACTAATAATTCTTTTGTTTCCCAGTGTACATCTTGTATATTCCCAGGAGTGTGTGCTCGCTTTGGAGGCCACTGCTCAGGGGGAACCCCTAGCCCCACTATAACACCCTCCCCACCGCCCAGTGGCTTATTCCAGAGTTAAGACAAAAGCACCCCACGGGCATCATCCACCTTTGGTCCCTGCCAACCCCCACTGCTGGGATAAAACATTCACAGTTGTGGTTTTCAAACATGTTTTCCTTTTCAGCCCAGCTTTCCTAGATATGAATTTGCTTGCTTGCTTCTCATTGCAGCATTTGGCCACTCAGAAACCCCTTCTGTAGGAGCTGGTAGCCCCCTTTGCCCCCCTTTTGTGATCTTGCCCAATTTGGGGCCACAATTAAATGCAGTAGTAGAAGTGAAAACTATTGGCATTCTGCATATGGGCTTGGCCCTCGGGGTCCTGTGCCAAGGAAGAACTCTTTTCCATATTTTTCTTATTTATTGCTTGTCCCGGAGCACACTCTTCAGGGTCCTCCTGGGCAGTTCAGCCGGTCTCTGGAGGAAAGCATGGGAAGGCCAGCAGCTTGTGTTAGCTGCTCAGGGCTCGCCTGGAGAGCTCCATGCTGGGGTACGGAAGCCAGGAGGCCTAGGAGGTGAAGTGGGTCTGGACAGCCCAGTGGAGTGTCAGCAGACCAAGGAAGGACATACTCAGACGTGCTCCCTCGAATCCGGGAGCTCCAGACTGACACTCTCCACTCCCACCTCAGCCGGAGACTCCGGTCATCTTTTTGTCTGTCTCCTGTCCTCTGCTGACCACGGTGCTTGGTTCTGTGACCGCCTCCGTCTAGAAACCAAAGCCCTACCACTTCCAGGAAGTGAGGCCTGTGGTCTCACCTCACGGAACAGGCCTAGACTGACCTTGGAAGCTGAGTTAGTGTCTGCATAGACACAGGTTTCTCTCTGTTACGCTGGATGCAGAGGCTCTCTAACCAGTCTGCACATCTCTCATCTCTCATCTCCAGTCTAGGAGCTCAGTATATTCCAGACACGGAAGGATTCCATGACTGGGAGACAGTGTGGGGGTGGAGAAAGAACACAGGCTTTAGAGACAGGTATAGCCACGTGATCTGGGTCAACAGGAATGATGCTAACCTTATTGTTTATTACGTGCCAGGCACTGCACTAAATACTTCACCAAGATTATCACATTTGATCCTTAGAACAATTCTGTGAGGTAGATAACCATTAGTTTTATTTTACATATGAAGGAACTGAAGCTTAGGTTAAAAGAACTTGCTCATAGTCACAGCTGATAGGTGGTGAGCTGGGATGCTAACCCAGGCCCACGACTAGTCAACCCTCCTGAAGCACCTGACCACTCAAGCTAGTTTTCTGACCTTTAAAATCAGGCTGTTGTCTATTCAGAGAGTTGAAGATTTAGATAATGTTTATAAAGGGTCTGGCACACAGACCCTACTACATGGTATCTTCCCATTTTTCCAGATGCCCAGATGTCATTTTTATTCTATGGTTTTAGAGTGAAAAAATCTTGGATCGTCACGTGCAACTATCATACTGCATCCTACACCGATGACACAGTCCTGCTCTCTCAGGGACTTAGAGTTTGGTGAGGGAGGAGGAGGGCGAGGGGGTGGCAAACAGAAGAAAAGGCTCTCAGGGCGGTGTGTTCCGGATCGAGTCCCCTTTACCAAGAGGCAGGAAACACTGTGCTGCCACCATCAAGGTTGGTGGTCTCGGATTCCTTTCTGCACCAACCAGTGAGACACGGATGTTGGCTCCTCTGTATACCAAAGCTCTGAGGCTGAGGGAGTCAAGCATAAGGTGCTGGGCCCAAACAAGCCAGCCCTCAGTGGCAGGAACCTAGAACCTGAGGGAAGCACTGGTACAATGGCCATCCCTTTTCACGTTGGTCCCCACAAAGCCATTTCCTGTCCACAGTCTGATTTCATGAGATCTTGTCTGAGGTCTTGGAAAGGCTTGTAACGGTTGGCTGGTATCAGAGATGCCCTGAGAAACAGCAGTCAGGAAGCAGGGTTCCTCCGTCATCTAAAGGGTATTCCGAAATTTCTCAAGTATTTCTTCATAATCATGTTCATCATTATCTACAAAAGAGTTCAAGTCAATGACGATCTTTGACCTTAAGCAGGTTCCTTCCCCTTTTTAGGGCACCGGACAGGGAAGGAGTTGGTCAGGATGCTCTAAGGTCCCTGCTAGACCAGAAACTACAAATTATTCTGTCTGAATACTGTGTAAATATTCCCCTTGCATGCCTCGGGGAGGGTAGTATGTTGGAGATGAACTCATTTTCCTTGCCAGGACTCTGGAGCCCCTGGAAGAGGGACAGTAGGGACCCACTCTCTTTTTTTAAGATTTTATTTATCTGAGGAAGGGAGCACAAGTGGGTGGAGGGGCAGAGACAGAGGGAGAAGCAGACTCCCCGCAGAGCAGGGAGCCGGACACGGGACTCCATCCCAGCACCCTGGAATCATGACCTGAGCTGAAGGCAGACACTTAACCGACTGAGCCACCCAGGCGCCCCTAAGCCCATCCCTTAAAAGCCTCTCTGTCCAACTGGGACTGCAGAAGGGTCTGTTCGAGGGCAGGGCCTTGCTGCCGTCAGAGGTACAAGCAGGAGCAGAGTAAGCAGGGGAGAAGCAATGGCAAGGGTGAACAGGGGCTCACAGGGACTCACCTGGATCTTCTGTGATGGACTTAGTAGTGTACCTGAGGCCCTTCATGCGGGCAGAAATCTTGCTGTATGTATTTGAGCTGTCCTTGGCACTCTGTGGCAGGGTCTTCATCTTGGGTTTGGGGAGCAGAGGGGCTTGCTGCCGTTCTGAGACTTGAGAATACTAAGTAGGAGAAAAAGCAGAAGTCAGCAGGGTACCAAGAAATGGGGCAGCAGAGTCCATGTAATGTAATTTCCTTCAAATGTCACTTCCTCTGCTCCCCTCTTGACTGACTTCCTGTTCAGGGTAGGGCTTCCTGGGACCCCAAGCGTTTTTGTTTCTAGCGCATGAAATATTCTTTGGCAGGGGAGACAGGCCAGGATGAGAGACGAAAGGGTTGGGGGCTAGAGACAGGGTGCCCTGAGTTTCTCCACAGAGGGGATTCAGTCAGTGTCCTTCACGTCTGCTGCTGAAGGGGCAAAAAGCAGTCACAAAATCTCAGGACAGAGCGCCAGAGCTGAGAGGGGCCCCAGAAGGAGGAGGACTTTTGTTGAACTCCCACCTTAGGCCATATGCACACCTGTCCGTTTATCTTCGGGGGACCCTCCAAGGAGCTGTTTGAGTTCCCAATGCACCCATGAGGAAACAGGCTCAGAGTGTGCCGTGTCATACCTCACACAGGACTGCGAGCTGGGCCAGCGTTCAGACCCAGAACCATGTCCGTGACCTCTAAAGCCCGTGCTCTTTCTAACACACTACGCCCGGGAAAGCAAACGATGCAGGGCCTCCGCTCAGCGGTGGGGAATGCTGATGCGCAGAGAAGTAAAGTTGCAGGATCAGGGGCAGTGAGCAGGGCCTGGGCCCAAAGTCCCTTCCAACAGGAGCAAAAGCGGGGACTGAGGTCTCTCAATTTTTTGTACTATGTTCTCTCCGGGGCTGTCAGGAAGGCCTGTGTTTCAGATGCCCCCGTCCGTTCTCTGTTCTGTCAGAAAACAACTGCCCTTCCCCCTCCTCCACAGATGCAAGCCCCTTCTGGGGCCAAAACTGCTCCAGATTCATCTTTCTCACTTCCGCTGCCATCCCACAACCTACCCTCGCGGTACAAAATACGAGTTTCCCCGAATCCCCAAACAGCAAGCTTGCTACACTTTACAACGTGCTTTTGACGCAGGTCATCTGTTGCCAGCAGAGCCCCGCAGCTCGGTGCCCGGGCTGGGCCGTCAGACCCGGCGTCAAACCCCAGCTTGCCGTTTGCTAGCTGTGTGACCTCAGGTCAACCACTCTCCCTCTCTGGGCCTCTTGTCTTCCCCGCGGTGGGGAGAGCCATCTCTCAGCGCCCATCTCACAGGGACTTCTCGAGAGCTGGCCGGGGGGGCCATGCCGGTAAGGCGCCGGCCGCGGAGCAGACACCCGATGGGCCACAGCTAAGCCGCCCGCGCTGAGTCACCTCACCCCAGGTTCACGGGCAGGAAACCGGAGAGCTCAGGCCACGGGGCGAGCGAACCGCGCCCCAAGCGGGTCCTTCCCCGTGCCTGTCACTCGGTTTGGGTCAGTTCGGCGCTCACCGGCACTGTCTGCCCGCCCCCACCCCTACCGGCACCCCCAGGCCGTGTACCACGTGGCAGTGCGAATACGGCGGTGGGGGGGATGGGGGGGAGGCTGTCGCTGCCAGAGGAAGCCTGAGCTGAGCCTTGCCCACTGCAAAGAGGAAGCACATTCTGGCAAAAGGCGCACGCATAAAGTGCTGAGGCGGGAATCTTGGCGGGCGTGCTGAGGAAGCTGTGGGAGTTTCTCTGTGGCTGAGTGTGGACCGGAGTGGGAGGAAGACGGGTCTGGCCATCTGGGGCGGGGCCTGAGGTCAGCTTATAAAGGACCCTCCCTGGACGCCACGCTAGGGGGTTGACATTACCCCCGGGGCCAAGGGGAGCCACTAGAGGTTCAGAGGATGGGGCCGAGGCCCATCGATGACCAGGGCAGGGCTTGGGAGGCCATTCTGACCGCTGTGGGAAGGCGGGGGAGAGGCTGCTGACACGCTTTCGGTGAGCGCTGATGAGGCCCGAATGAGGGGACAGCTGGGGGAGCTCACACTCCGGCTCAGGCCCCCCGCTTCTGGACTGGGACTCTGGGCGAGTCTCCAGGTCTCCGAGTCCTCACTGTCTCGCCCATAAAATAGGAATCATCACACGAGCATCAGATTGTCAAGATTGAGTAAGAAGAATGGGTGCACAGCGTGTGAGTGTAGAAACTGCAAGTTCTGTACAACTGAGAGCGAGACGAGAGGCAGGACAAGGAACGGGCAGGCCCCACAGCAGCCCCGGCGGGTTCCCCTCCCCGCCCCCTTCGGCATATTGGTACCTGGGCACTTTTGTCCTTGCCACTTTGTTTCTTCTGCCCACGGAGGCCCCGACTTTTGGGGGGCCTAGGAGGAGGGGGTTGTTTCTCGAAGGCTGGTAACCGCCGGAGGGTGTAGTAGAAGGCATCTGTCACCTCCTCTACTGTGGCTACCGGGGGGCGCCCAGCTGGCTGGCCAGGCTGCCCCTTGGTCTCCACAACGGTCAGGTCCAGCCACCGGGGAGGGATCTCGAAGCACATCTTAGGGTTGGAGTCGAGGCTGACCACCAAGAAGGGTTCCATGATTTTCTCCTCCAGCCGCAGGCCTGGGAAGGAGGGCAGAGGGTCAGCAGGATGGCTGCTCTCCTTGGCCACCACCTTGACTTCGCAGGGCAGTGAAAACTGGGCCATCAGATCTTCCAGGCTGTAGCGCCGGTTATCACTCATCTCCTCCACAAAACTACTGGAGAAGTAGAGGGGCAGCAGAATCTGGTCTTCATCTTCTACCTCTTCATACTCTTCCTCCGCCTCCTCCTCAGCCTGGTCACTCAGCCGCTGACACACCAAGACATCTATGTCCTGGCCTTCAGCCCCATGGGCCTGGCCAGACCTCAACACCTCCAGCCTGTCGCCCACAGCCAGGGAGGTGAACCCGGGGCTCTCTACCCCTTCGCCCTCACAGTCCTTTGTGGCCACGACCCGGAGCGGTTGGCCCGGCTGGAGAGCACCCAGGAGGTCACAGGCCGTGAGGAACTCTCTCGGCCGCCGCCGCAGCTTGCCCTGATAAGCCCCAGAGACCATGAAGTGTCTGGGCACCTTCCGGCCCTTGGTTGAGACCAGGATCCGCCAGGGTGGTGAGGCCAGGCCATGGATGCAGAGCCGCTGGCCTTTCTGTAAGGAGCCTACCCACGGGCCGACGAAGATGGGGGGCCCCCCCGGAGTTTCCAGGATCTCCGTGGGCAGAGGGAAGGGGCCTCCCCGGGCCAGGATCTCACTCAGCAGCAGTGGTTGGATGAAGTGGATGTGTTGAGAGGAGGCAGTGACATCTTCCACGTCGACCTCCAGGGTGGAGGGGATCTTGACAATGGTCCTGCGCACTGTGGGGAGGGGAGGTCAGCTCAGGGGGCGCCCCACACACCAGCCCAGGGGTGTCCCTGCACCCCAGCAAAGATATCTGGGCTGGCTGACCTCTTCCCTGTTCTGTTCTGCCAGCATTTTCCTATGGCATCAGATTCCTTGCTCACTCTTTTCCTTAACCTCTTTTCAAAAGCGACGATAGAAATTTTTAAACATTTACAAAAGTAGAATAGTATAGTGAACCCCCTACCACCCAGCTTCAGTATTTCATTCGCGGCCCATCTTCTTTCATTCATACCCTGTCTGTCCCCCTCCACTGGGTTATTTTGAATCAGGACAATCACATTTCATCTTGACCTTTCAGTGTGTGTCTCTAAGAGAAGGGATAAAGTTAAAAACATAACCACAATGCCATTACCACATCTAGATAATAATTAGTTGATAATTTGTTCATAGCATCAGATATCTAATTCGTTCAACCACTTTTTATTTTTTTAAAGATTTTTATTTATTTATTGAGAGAGAGAGAGAGAATGATAGAGAGCATGCATGAGAAGGGGTAGGGTCAGAGGGAGAAGCAGACTCCCCGCTGAGCAGGGAGCCCGATGCGGGACTCAATCCCGGGACTCCAGGATCATGACCTGAGCCGAAGGCAGTCGCTTAACCAACTGAGCCACCCAGGCGCCCCTCTTTCAACCACTTTTTAAGCTTTAATTGATTTTTGAATGTAATTTTATAAGCTACCTTTCCAAATCCTTTCTGCATTTTTGTGGTTTTGGGTTTTTTTGAAGATTTTATTTATTTGTCAGAGAGAGAAAGCGCACGCACAAGCAGAGAGAGTGGCAGGCAGAAGGAGAGGCGGGCTCCCTGGATGCGGGGCTCGATCCCAGGACCCTGGGATCATGACCTGAGCTGAAGGCAGACGCTTAACCGACTGAGCCACCGAGGCGTCCCTCCTTTCTGCAATTTTAAATAAATAGATAAAACTACATCAAGAGGGGCACTTGGGTGGCTCAGTCAGTGAAATGTCCAACTCTTGATTTTGGCTCAGGTCATGATCTCAGGGTTGTGAGATTGAGCCCCGAGTCCAGCTCCTCACTCAGAGCCGAGTCTGCTTGGGATTCTCTCTCTGCCTCTCCCTCTGCCCCTCCCACTTGCGCTTTATCTCTCTCTCTCTCTCTAAAATAGATGAATGAATCTTTAAGAAAAATAAAAATAAAAACACTGGTTAATGACCTTGGCAACTTGTTTCCTCTCTGGGCATTGGTTAGTACCTGGTTTATAAAGTCAGGAGGTGGCTCTGTAAGCATATGTCCACTGCGTTTGAGCCATACCACACGCAAGACAGAGCAAGGAGCATCCTCCTTCCTCACAGAGGAAGACTGAGGCTCGGGTGGTGACGTGCCTCAGGTGACAATGTTGGGATTTTTGCTCTGTGCCAGGGGAGCTGATGTCTGGTTGCAGCTGGGAGATAGGCACATGGAGGTTCATTATACTGTTCTGGTTTTTTTCTTCAAAGTACTTTATGAATTACCTGAACTGCCTCATCATCCAGGGCAGCCCCCACGCCCGACCCACCATTAAAAGCCCTGGTTCCCCAGACTGTGGTCTTTTACTGCCATTTCCCACAAGATGCCAGGGCTCCCTGGGAAAGAGAGAACTTCCTGGGGAAGAAATATGTAACAGTCTGGAACCTCTGATAACAGAAAGCAAGAAAAATCTATTCAAGACCATGTAGGTGTGTGTCAAAAGGATTCAGGAGCCAAACTGAAAAGGCTCCCACGGGCCAAGGCGGAGATAATGTGAGCATCAATAATAATTCCAGTGGATTGGAACACTGAAAATATTTCATCTGTGAGTTCATAATGATGATTTAAAAAAAAACACCTAAATAATCATATTTGAAGAATGCGAGGGAGCCAATTCATTTTAAAAACTAGTAAACGGGCACCGGGGTGGCTCAGTCGGTTAAGCATCCGACTTGTGGTTTCAGCTCAGGTCGTGATCTCAGGGATGTGAGATCTAGCCCCGAGGGAGGCTCTGCGCTCAGTGAGGAGTCTGCTTGAGATTCTCTCCCTCCCTCTGTCCCTCCCCAACATGCACTCTCTCTCTCTCTCAAATAAATCTTTAAAAAAAGAATGAGTAAACAAAGTATAGGTCATTTCTTAGGACGGTCTTCCATACAGGCTGGAGACAGCGTGCAGAGCAGGGCTGGTGAAACAGGCAGAACCCGGCCAGGTCTGCCAGAGTGGAGGGAGAATGGTGCCCTGGGACCTTGACATATATAAACACAATGTCCCATATTTCTCGTACAAGCTAGCCAAAGCGGTGGGGTGGGTGGGTTTTGTAGTAGTTTCCTGACTACTAGATGAAGAAGGAACACTAGGATTAAAATCACTACTGCAGTTCCTAAGGCAATCACGGATCTAAGGCAGGGATCAGCAATAGCCACTCACATCACAAATGCCGGCCCATCCCTTGCATCTGATCGACACCACGGGGCAAGGTTGGTGCTGTAAGTTAGGCTGGGGACAGACACAGAGCTGGGGGAACTCCTTGCCCCACACCTCATGTAGCCATGAGAACTGCCTCCTGAGTCTGGTCAAACCTCTGAGGGCCTGTTTACAGATGTGCAGAAAAGAGCGAACAGTGGGCCTGAGGCTTCTAACCCTGGACAAGCCTGCCTGCAAGACTGGTCCTCGGCTTGCGCCTGGGGACATGGTTTTGCGAGTGTTGCCAGCATCCCCTCACTGGTGCGGGTGGTTTCCTGTCCTTAGCCCATACAACCAGTGATGCTGAACACCTGCTTTCCCCTGGGGGTGGCCTTGGGCCCAACACAACAGGAAATACAGGGGTCAGGTGCACACTGGCTCCATCACAAGGATGCTGGCAACAAAATTCAAAATGTGAGAGAGTCTACAGGACAAATGGCCGAGTCCCTTCGACAGATTAATTATAAGAAAAATAGGAAAGGTGAACCTATAGAGTAACAGGTGTAAAAGGCCTAACAATCAACAGCAGTCTTGTGGATCTTATCTGGATCCTGCTGTGAATACACTGTAGAACAATTTATGAGACAGTAGAGGAAGTTCAAACACCAAATAGTGGTATTGGGAGTTATCGTTAATTTTTTTGGTGTGATGACGGTATTGTGTGTCTGTTAAAAAAAAATTATTTTTAAAAGAGACACACTGAAGTATTTATATGAGAAATAATAAGATACCTGGGGTTTGTTTTGAAATAATCGGGCAGGGTGGGGAGAGATGAAACAGGACAGACAGATAGGTCCTGAGTTAATAACTGTGATGTCAGGTGATGGGGTCCTAGAGGTCTGTTGTACTACCCTCTGCTTGTATATGTTTGAATTTTTCCATAATGGTTTTCAAAGATTTTTAAAAATCAGGATAAAGCATTCCCACTTGGCTCTGGAGCCCCCCAGCAACCGTGAGCATCTGCTCCCTCGGTAACTGCCAGAGAGCTGAACCTCAAACTCTGTCCCCCAGGGCACTCATTTGGGCTCAGCTCCGGCTCAGCCTCCGAGCGGCCAGACCTGGGCAGCTTCTGCCTGTTTCACCAGCCCTGCTCTGCACTGGCCTCCAGCCTGTCCTCAGAAACAGCCCATGAAACAGCTAGGCATTCACCCAGTGCCCTTGTCACCCAGACAGGAGGGGACCTTGAGGAACAATCCCGTCTTCCCCAGAGGCAGGAAAATCTGTTTCTCCTGAGCAACTGGTCAAGGTTTTACTCTGTAACTGCTGCTTTGTCCTAGTCGCTAGCAAGCACACAATCTAACTTTTGCCTGATTTTATAAAGAGTGGGACCTCACTCTTAAGCTCCCTCATTTTCCCGTCTCCTTTTACTAGCTTCCCACTATTTGAGACTCTTTCTTCTGTTATGTACTGGGTAAGCAACCTGGTCCCTGGGGTACCTTCCATCTGAGCAGCCTCCCAGGGGCCCCTCTCTCGCCCCACCAACCTTCCCCCACCTGCCCAGACGACTCACTGTGCATGATGGCTTGGAGCTCATACTGGGGCCTCAGGACCAGGGACCGCCAGGGGAGGGCGGGGCAGGTGAAGAGGCGGTTGCTCAGGGCTGGGTCTTGCAGGGCCTGGAGCAGGGGCTGAGGGGCGCCAGGCTGCCACTCCCAGAAGGGCCCCTTCTGGGAGAGGGGCAGGTGTAGAATGAACTGCTGGGTTTTGGTGTCTAGCACACAGCGGGCACAGTAGGTCCCATGGTATGCTTCCACATCCTCAAGCAGGAGGGGCTGGTCCCTGGGCACCACCCTGGACTCTGTGGTGATTCTGTGTGTCGACATGAAGCCAATGGGCAGCTTCCTGGAGCGCTGGGTTGCAGCGGAGAGCAACTCCTCCAAGGTTGTGTAGCTCTGAGGGCCGGTGAGGGGGCTGAAGTGGCCTGTGGGGCACAGCAGAGGGTGTCAAGGTGGGATGGGCCCTTGCTGGGTCCAGGGCCACACATACCAGGCCCCGGTCTGCCGCAGAGAACCCAGTCAGAATCCCCCAAAGACAAGCGCCAAGCATCTGGACATCCAGGCAGCAGGGCTGAGGGGCAAAAAGCAGCCAGCGACCATGTGTGAAGGGACAGTGACAGGTAGAGATGGGGACAGTTCCTCCTTACTCGGAGAGGCAAGAACACAGAGGGATTGTCGACAGAGCAGGGATGGACTTCCCAAAAGACACTGACAATGGCCACATCTGCCTACCTCCTGAATCATACCTACCTCCAACTCTGCCAACTTTGCTTCCGTATTCCTCACCACCATTCCAATCCCATACATCCAACACCTATCACCCCATGCTGGGGCAGCGCCATTGTCCCCCTCTCTCCCAAACGAGAAACCCAGGAGCTCCTAGCCAAATGACCTCTGACCAGCCCCCTTCGCCCCACATCCCGTCTGCCAATTCCGGTGGCCTGACTATTCTTCCCCCATCCACTTCTCCCCCGTCCCCATTCCCACTTCTCCTGCCACTGTACCAGCCTAAAACAGCCCACATCCAGACATCGCTTCCAGAGTTTTCCTTTTGCAAAACGCCCAACACGAGTCTAATCAAGGCAACATCACACTAAACCCAGACTGAAGGACATCCAAAAGAACAAGTCTAGACTCTTCAAATAGTTGATGTCAAGACAAAGGCTGAAGGAGATTAGGAAATCGATATGTGATCTGGGGGCTTCTGGGTGGCTCAGTCTGCTAAGCGCCTGACTCTAGATTTTGATTCAGGTCACGAACTCAGGATCATGAGATCAAACCCCATGTCTGCACTGGATGTGGTTCCTGCTAAAGATTCTCTCTCCCCCTTTCCTTCCTCCCAACCCGCCTCACACACGCGTGCTCTCTCTCTTAAAAAAAAAAAAAAAGGAGAAGGAAATTCCTATTAAAAAAAGAAAGAAAGAAATTGATGTGATCTGGGATTGGTTTCTGGATCAAGGGGAAACCGACTAATAAAGGACATTTATTAGGGCAGTTGTTGGAATCTGAATAGACTAGGTTAGACAGTAGTATTATATCAATATTAAATTTTCCGAATTTGATCACTGAACTATAGTTTTATGAACAAATATCCTTGTACTTAGGAGGAATATTAGTAAATACAAGGAGTAACCTTTAAAAGGGTTATCATGTCTGCAATTCATTCTCAAATGGCCCAGGAAAAAATACATATATACACATACACATATAGTAATATATGTTCGTGTATGTGCATGTGTGTGGAGAGAGGCAGAGAAAGAAATGTAACAAAATGCTGGTGAACTGGAAAACAACTGGTAAATCTGGATAAAGGGTGTACAGTGGTTTTAGCAAGTCTTCTGTGAACTTGAACACATTTCAGAATAAAAGGAAAAACCCTCAAAATACAAAATAGAGCACACCACTTCCATCTTTAAAACCCTCACTGGCTCCTCGGTGCTCTCAAAGACCAAACTATGCCCGTGACCCCCCAAAGCCCTCTGGCAGTCTGCTTCCCGCCTGCCTCCCCACCGCCTGCCCCTCACCAGGAACCCAAGCCCTCCCCCGTCCCATTCAGGCCATCACAGGAAGGCATACAAGAAGGAGCCCTCGGACTACACCTGCTCTGGGCCACGCCTGTTCTAAGCCCTTCATTCTGGGCAACTCATTGACCCTTCACCTCAAGCCTGACTACCCTGCTCTAGAGGAGTCCGCTGAGGCACAGAGCGGTGCCAGGAACTGGCCATGGCTAGTAGCAGGCAGAGCTGGGATTCTCATCCAAGCCGTTGGCTTCAGCGTCCCAGCCCTCGGCCCACTACACACCCCCTGCTGGAACCGAGCTCTGTCATTTCTGGAGCACCGGCTATGCACATGCTCCTCCCTGTGTTACTCCCTCTGGGAGTCCTTCCTCCTGCTCAGGTGCCGCCTCCTCCAGGAAGCCTGCGCAGACCCCTGAGGCAGGCTCCTCCTGCCAGGAACCCTCTCTAAACTCCACGTCTACTGTTGCCCTCCTCTTGCTGCCATCCGGGAAGCTCCCGCTGGAGAGGGCTGCGCTGGGTTCATCCTGAGCCCCACACACCGCCCCCCCCCCCCGCCCTGAGCACAGGGCCCGGCACACACGTGTCAGTAAATGTGTGGCGAGGGGATGTGTGAGCAAACACAGAGACAAGCACGTAGGCAAAGAGCTAGAACAAAGAAAGTCCCAGCCAGAGAGGCAGATGTGACCAGAGAGATGGACACGGAGAGGGTGCAGCCACCCCAGGGTAAGGGCATTGTCAGACCACTCAGAGGACATCCCTGGCCTTGGGGCAGGGCAGTGGGGGATGGGAGAGCCCAGGTGCAAATGAGAGGGGTGGGAGTGCATGCTGGGCTGGAGGGGGCCAGTGCCCTGGGGCGGGGGACACAGAGCTGCCTGCCTTACCAGAGAAGTTGGGGGCAATTTCCATGGTCTGGCCCGTTCCTGGGTTCTTGCAGACCACCTTCTGGAGGCAAACCTGAGTGACCTTGATCAGGTCCCCTGTGGAGAGGCAGCACTCATTCCCACAGATCTCGTAGATGGAGCCTGCAGAGAGAGAGATCCAGTTTCCCGGGGGCCCCCCCCGCAAGAGCCAAGTGCTGGCTGGCCTGCACCCTGCCCCCCCAACAGGCCGCGCTCTGCCTCCACTCTGCACATGTTCCTGCTACCCGGGGTGGCCTTCCCTGTCTTTCCCCACCGGAGGGCCCCTGGCTCAGCTGGACTCAGGCAGCAGGAACCCTGCCTGTGCCTTCTTTTAGCGCTGGGCAGACGCCTCTGTGAGACACTTCTCTGACCTTCTCCCCATCCCCATGCCTCCCAAGCGGAGCTCACAGGCGAGGCGGGGCTGGTCCGTCCCAGCACCCCTGTAGCTGCCACAGGCCTCGCCTCTAAGTGGGTGTTGAGGTCCTGGGCGAGTAAGCAGCCCTAAGTCCCAGCTGCCTACGTACGGCTACCACGTCGGGCCCAGAGAAGTGCAGTGACTGCCTGGAGGTCACACACAGCCTGACACCCGCGCTGGTGCTTTCTTCTTCATGTGAATTGTGGTTAAAGGCAGCACGGGTGAAAACGGAGGGCCACTGACAGGGTGGGCGCAGGAGGCAGGGTTCTGGGCTGCCACCATCAAGCACAGCAGCCCCACTCAACGATTCTAAAAGTGTCTAAAGCAGTGTCCGGAACATAGAAAGTGCTCGATAAAGATCTCCCCCACGGGGTGGACAGGCTCTGTCTGCTGACACGGGACGGGACAGCACACATAGGTCAGCCCTAAGGCCACCACCTGACACCCCACCCCACCCCCCCACACTTCCAAGGCATCCCCAGCACAGCCCTCACAATGGCCCTGAGAAGCTGATGAAAATCCCACCCCTTATCCCAGGAAAACGCACACGGGCTCATAAACTGTAGGTCTGTCTGCAGTTTCAGGGGGCGGCCCCTCAGGGCTGGTGCGAATAGCAGCTGGGGTGCTGGGCACCGGACTGCAGATGTGCTTTGCAGTAAAGACCCCCAAGTGGCCTCCGAGGGAGAACTGGTTCCCCGTCCTAAATAATGAGCTGTGCCTGGGTGAGGCTGGGTGGGGTCCTCAGACGATCAGGTCAAAGGGGGCAGAACGGGGACCCCAGCCCAGGGTGTTTGTACAGTGGGAACCCCTCACCACGCAGCTGGTTCCCATTGCTCCCACCCCCTGGCCTCCACCCAGGGCCTTCTCTCACCAAACGTCCACCACTTCCCGCGCCCAGGGTCAGGCAGAATGAGGAAGCAGCCATCGTGACATGCCTGTCAGGGGATGTCAGCAGGAGCGCAAACAGCAGAGGCGCCTGCAGGGAGCCCCCGAGGAGAAGTCAGCATTTGAACCCACATCTGCCAGATTCCCAAGTGGACCTGGCCAAACCCAGTGTGTGGTGGTGCATCCTGCCACCTGTGTGGCCCTCCATGTGTCTCCCCCTTGGTCTAGGAACCCCCCCTTGGAGCCTCAGAACACTTCACTGGAGGCTGCTGTGGCAAAGCAAGGTAAGAGAAAAAGGGAACAGATACGGCAGGGCACCCCTGCATTCGTTTGCTTTCTAAGGAAGGAGCCTCTCCCCCTCCAACCAGTCTCCAAGTTCCCTCTTCCTCCGGCGCCTCACCCTCCGAGCAGCTTCCCCTCCCCTCCACTGCCTGTCCATCTCTCCCTTCTCCTTCGGGCAGCAACTAGCGACTGAGCCCCTGCTATGTACCTATCCCAGGGAACCATGTAGGCAGATGTGCAGGTGCGCCAGGAGCAGAGAGCGAACGGGGAAGCCTGCTGCGGGGAGCAGCGATTTAAGCTGAGAACTGAAGAGCTGATAGATCAGGTTGCAAAGCCGAGGGCGAAGGGGGCTGGAAGGCGCGTAGATAGGCGTCAAGGGGGAGGAGTGGGAGGGCACGCGGAGAGGAGGGCTGACCTGGCACAAGCCCTGATGTTCCGTTTTCCCACGGTCAGACCTCCGTCTGTGCGCACAGCGGTTTCACCCCCGCTTGGCTCGGTTCCTCCCACCTGAGTGTCTAAGCTCATTGACTTCTCATCATCACCCTGCGAGGCAATCAGCGCTCTCCCATTCCACGAAAGCAAAAGCCGAGGCCCAGAGAGGTTGAGTGTGGCCCCAAGTCACACTTGGGCTTGGGCAGTGGCAGCGTGGCTCGGTTTCCGTCGCCCGGGCAGCGCCCCTGCCGCACCACGCAGCGAGGGCCTGGCGGGGGCGGGGGTCGCGGGGTCGCGGCCCCTCACTCACCCTGGAAGTAGACCCCCGAGCAGACCCGCAGCACACGCGGGAGGGAGGCGAGGTCCAGGGCGCAAACGAAGTCCTGCAGCGACACCGGCTCCATGGTCCTCGCGGCTCTCTGGACGCCGACCAAGTGACCACAGCCCGCGCGCTCATCCCTCAGCCCCGCCCGCCTCGCCCCGCCCCGCCCCGCCCCGCCCCTCGCCGCGCCGATGTGGGCGGGGTCGTTCCGCCTACGTGGGCGGGGCCTCTCCGTCTCTGGGAGCGGCGCCCTCTGACCGCCTCGGTTTCCTTAGCCCTAAAATGGGCCGCAGTGCCTACCTCTCACCTTGGCGGCGCGACGCCTGGAGGCTCTGACTAAAGGAAGGCTGGTCCCCACGTCCCCGGTTGTCTGTGATGTATCCCATGGTGCGGGGGGTGGGGGGCGCTGATGGAGATGAAGGAGAAGCCCCAGCCGCGCCCCGCCCCCCGACCTGCCCCCGCCGTCCTCCCAGTTAGAATGAGGAAACGCGGCCGGCCTGGTGTAGTTCTTGGTCTCACAAGAGAGACACAGCCCTGCCCTTTGCGTCTGCGGAGAAAGATGCAGTGTCCCGGACACACGGTCCTCTACCGATGGGGAGCTCACCACCTTTCCAGGACTCTCATACCTTCGGACATTTCTAGTTAAAATTTCTTCCTTGGGCTAAAGAGAAATCTGCTTAGGCGAGAGCCCTCTTGCTTGGTATCTAACTTGAAACAAATTACTGACTTCTGAGTTTCAGTTTCCTCATCTGTAAAATGGGGCAAAGAATATTTTCTGAGCTGGTTGTGAGGATTAAATGAGATCATTTAGGTATTGTGCAAAATTCTTTATTTCACTTTATGTCACTATAAAAGTAATAGACTTCTAATCAGAAATAATAAAAGTTTGGGGTGCCTGGGTGGCTCAGTCGGTCGAACCTCCGACTCTTGGATTGGGCTGAGGTCATGATCTCCCGGTATGGCATCCAGCTCCGCCTGAGGGGAGGGGGTGTACCTGCCTGAGATGCTCTCTCTCCCTCTCCCCCTCCCCCCCGCTCTCTCTCTCTAAAATAAATAAATCTTTTTTTAAAAAAGAAATAATAAAAGTTTAAAATAAGAGGAATAAACCCTAATTAAAGACACTTGACAAAAAGAGGACATTCCAACACACTTATTACTAACACTTGGCCGTGTTTCTTTCTACTCTTTATTGTGTGCAGATTTTAAACTTTTTAAAATTTACACTAAATTTGCAAAAAATAGATTTCCCATATATCCCTCAGCTAGTTTCAAATTCCCCTAATGCTACCATCTCACATTACCAGGGCACATTCGTCAAAACTAAGAAACCAGCATTGCTACATTAGTTAACTAAATGGTAGACTTTATTTGGATTTTATCTGCTTTTTCTCTGATGTCCTTTTTCTGTTCCAGAATCTCAACCAGGATTCCGTGTTGCATTTAATCCGCATGTCTCCGGTCTGTGACCCATTCTCAACCTTTCCTGGTTCTTCTTCTTTTTCTTTTTTTAAAGATATTTATTTATTTATTTATTTATTGAGAGAGAGAGAGAATGGTAGAGAGAGAGCATGAGAGGGAAGAAGGTCAGAGGGAGAAGCAGACTCCCCGCCGAGCAGGAAGCCCGATGCGGGACTCGATCCTGGGACTCCAGGATCATGACCTGAGCCGAAGGCAGTCGCTTAACCAACTGAGCCACCCAGGCACCCTCCTGGTTCTTCTTCTAAGCTTGACAATCTTGAAGAGAACTGGTCAGGCATTTTGCAGAATGCCCCTCAACTGGAATTTTTCTGATATTTCCCTCATGACGAGACTGGGGCTATGGGTTTTCTGCGAGGCTGCTACCAAGGTGATATGTCCTTCTCCTCATGTCCTCTCCAAGGGGGCACATGACATGGGCACAGGACTTTTTACTGTGGTGTTAACCGTGATGGCTTAGCCAAGGCGGGGTTTCCAGATTTCTCCACTGGAAAGTTGCTATTTTCCACTGTCCGTACTCCATTCTTTGGAAACAAGTTGCTAAGTGCAGCCCACCATTAGGGGGAGCTAAGCCCCGCTTCCCAGAGTGAAGAACATCCAAATAAATTACTTGGGAGTCCTCTGTAAGAAAGATGTGCCTCTTCTCCCCCACTTATTTATTTATTCAACTATTTGTTTATGTCAGTATGGACTCATATGGGTATTTATACTTTGACTTATAATCTAATACTATGTTATTTCGGGCGCCTGGGTGGCTCAGATGGTTGAGCGTCTGCCTTCGGCTCAGGTCATGGTCCCAGGGTCCTGGGATCGAGTCCCGCATCGGGCTCCCTGCTCCTTGGGAGTCTGCTTCTCCCTCTGCTTCTCTCTCTCTCTCTCTCCCTCTGTCTCTCATGAATAAATAAATAAAATCTTTAAAAAAAATACTACGTTATTTCTGTTGTTGCTCAAATTGTTCCAGCTTTGGGAGTTCCTTCGGGCTGGTGCCTGGGTCCCTTTGCCATGCCCTCCTTGTTCCGCTTTCTGAGCACTTCCTTACTGTCTGATGCTACAAGCTGTTTCAGGCTCATCTTGTCTTTTTTCTGCCCCAGCCCTACACGTGGCCATTTCTCCCAGAAGCCTGGTTCCTTTTATTTATTTATTTATTTTAAGATTTTATTTATTTATTGAGAGAGAGCGAGAGAGAGAAGTGCAAGCACAAGCAGGGGTGGTGGGAGAGGATGCACAGAGGGAGAAGCAGGCTCCCCGCTGAGCAGGGAGCCCGATATGGGGCTAGATCCAGGACCCTGGGATCATGACCTGAGCCAAAGGCAGATGCTTAACAACTGAGCCACCCAGGCGCCCCCTATTTTTGTCTTTTTCTTTCTTTGCATAAACATTACAGACACCGCTGCCCACCCCATGACCCAGCTGTCATCAGGTCCAGCCCTGACCTTCAGGAAGAAGCTCCTGAGTGATAACACTCAACAGAAAAATTTAAAACCCTCCCTTGTCCTTGGCCTTTATCTTTTCCCAGATTCCTGGGCGCAGAAGTGGACCTACCAAATTAGCAGGCAAAAGCCTACTATAACCGACATATTGAAACATTTTCTTGCCATTACAGTTTTGCGGTTATATATTTATATGTGTAATTGTTTATTTAACGTCTCTTCAGCAATTAGACAGTTGGCTTCTGGAGTTGCCTGGCTGGCTCAGTGGGTACAGTATGCGACTGTTAATCAGAGTCGTGAGTTCAAGCCCCACCCACTTTGGGTGTGGAGCCTATTTAAAATAAAATTTAAAAAAAAATTTTTTTTTTTTAATCCAGAACTTACTGAAAAAAAAGACAGTTGGCTTCTGGTGGTCAGAGGTTGGAATACCAGTCTGCTTTGCTCCCCAGTGTAGCAATCACATATCACAGGGCTCGGCAAACAGTAGATGCTCAATAAATCGCTGTTGTTAATGACTCACTAAATGAATGCATGGAAAATGCTTCCTTGAGATAGATCCCTGAAGTGTAATTTCTGGGTCAAATGGTATGCTGGCGTTTATATCTTCCGAGGGCGCATTTCAGTCATGTTGAAAGGTTGCTGAGCCTCCAATGGACCCAATAAGAAAAGGAAGAAGGACGCTTGCAAGAGCTGAGAAGAGTGGCACAGAGGTATGCCAGGGGCCATGGGGCTACAGGCCCAGGAGGAGGGTATGCTAAGCAGAGGGGATAGGACAGAGGGGGCATTTCTGTGTTTCCAGAAACATTGGCAGGTGTGATTCTGTGGGCACCTACTCTGAGCAGGCTCAGTACAAACATACACTCACTTAATCCTCTCTACAAGCAAGCAAGACAGACATTATCATTCCCACTTTATAGGTGAGAAAACTGAGGCACAGAAGAGGCTCAGAAAAGTATTGCCTGAGAGTATGTGACGAGAAAGTGGGGAAAGCTAGGAATTTTCTTTTTAAGTTTTTATTTATTCATTTAAGTAATCTCTACACCCAATGTGGTGCTCAGACCCACAACCCCGAGATCAAGAGCCAGCCAGGCGCCCTGGGGAGGCAAAGGCTTCTGAGGCAGGCTGGAGGAGACCATGGCAGTTACTCATCTCTTCCCCAGGGGTTTCCACGGACCAAGTAAGTCTGACAGATTTCTGCTTGGTTTAGTTTGGCCTTGAATTGCATGCAGCAGAGGATGAAGAATAAAAAGATGAGCTTTGAAAATAGACCTGGGCTCAAAGCCTGGCTCCACCACTTCTTAGCTGTGTGACCTTGGGCAAGCTCCTTAACCTCTCTGAGCCTCGGTCCCCTCTGTACAATGGGCACTGGCTGGAGCAGGGTCTTGGTGGAAATGATAGTGTGATGGGCACAGGACACATGCCAGGTGCTCAACATCCGTTCTTATTCTTGCTTTCTGAGGGTCTCATCTCATTTACTTCTCTGAATTCCCTGCTTTCTAGTTTAGGAAAATGAGACTCTGAGTGGGAAACAGTCCTCCTTGCTGTTACACAGCATGCAAATGGAGGAACTGGGATTGGAAGCTGGGCCTGGCCAGAGGTAGCCTGGGCCCCAGCCCTTTGCACTTTTCCCAGCCCGGGAGCACCAGCCTGGATCTCTGGCTCCTCAGGAGTTGAGCTGGGGGGGGGGGGGGGGGGGGGGGGGGGGGGGGGGGGGGGGGGGGGGGGGAAGTGGGGAAGGAGGCTGGAGGAGAGGCCTGCCACAACCCAGAACTGGAGTTCCTCATTTCTCTAAGTTTCACAGTTTTCCGTGTCAGGGGGTGAATAGCTCCAGGCTTCCTGTGGTCACAGCAGTAGGGTGACTCAAGGCGACTTGGGGGGGTGGGGGCTGGGTCCCTGCCAGCTTTGTTGGCACCAAACACTCTTGCACCTGGTCCCACACGGGCTTTCCAGGGGCGGGGTCCTCCCCAGGAGGGGAGTGCAGCATCTGTCGGGGGTTGTGACAGTGTCAGGCTGTCCACTTGTGTCTACCAGCAGGGCCCTTTGGCCAAGCGGGGGGCCGGTGGAAAACACGGTAGCAATCAGGAGGCTTTTGGGGCTGCGGGCTTCTGCCTCTTGGCACAGGTCTCCCTTGACCGCTCTGAGGTGGCCCCTTCCCAAGTCCCAAGGCGCCTGTGGG